GTCGATTAACACAAAGTGTGAGGAACGAAGTCTGAAGAAAATGTTGAACGCACTCTGCTGGGATGATGACCACACCATAGCTCAGTGGTTACAGCATCGCTGGCTACAAGCGAGGATCCCTGGTTCGAGTCCTGGTGGTGACAGTGAAATTTTTCTTCAGACTGTCCCCGTTTGTGTCTTTCCCTCAAATTTGTGAATTTTGTATACTTCCTCCGCTAAGCAAAACTTCCTTTTTAGTGTTTTTAGTGTTCTTGCCCTGATACTTGCCATGATAGTTTTATTTGCAGTAGCTGGGAAGCTGGGAAGCTAGTATCTGCTGTGACCACCATTATTTGCGATGACTTCCTGCAGACGGTTTGGCATGGATGTTGCTAAACTCGCCACATCGGCAGATCCGAGCCTTGTGCAGCTTATCTGCAGTTTGGCAGTTGTGTGCCGCCATTCATCGTTTCAGCAAGCTCCAAATGTTCTCGATCGGGTTTAGGTCTGGTGAACGAGCAGGTTGAAACGCAATGATCAGCATGCCGTTGTCGAGGATGTGCTGCTGCGCGTTAAGTGACAGAGACACAGCGCCGAGGACGTGCACCTTCGCCGGATGCTGTGACTGCTCAAGAACAGGCACAGAATCGCGAGGAAACCAGAACATGATTCGACCGTCGGGGCAGGCAGCGAAGCAAGCTTCGTCGGCGGATACCGTCTGGTCGAAGGCATGGTCTTGGTGGACGATTGCCCACACAAGACGGTGGAGCTTGTGTGCCTCTGTGAGGACGACTTTCTTATGCGGAAGCCAATGCGATGGGATTCTGATAGGCCCCGTCTCACCTGCCTAGCACCTACTGCTGGACCGACATTAGCCAAGTCGGCTGCTGCTTTCTCGCTGCTGGAATAGCGGTTGTTTTCAACAAAATGTTGTATGTGCTGAAGTCCATCAGGGCCTAGTGTGGGCTAAGCGCCACTTCCCGCTTTCGTCTTCACTGTAACACCAGCCTCGACCTTCTCTTTCTGCTCGTATCTCCATTGCTTTGATGTTTTGCTCGCTTACCGGGGTTTTCTTATAGCCGGTCAAGTCATGAACGTGCCTGCTTCCTAACCCAGGTCGGTAGAGCGCATCTATGTGCTCTCTTCTGCACAGTTCTTTTCCAGGGAAATACTGGTGGTTGGGGACGTTCCTCATCTTCCTCAGATTACACCACGAATGCTTCTTTGCACAACTCTTGTTGCAATGGTTAACACGTGGCGGTGAAGGGGGGGGGGTGGGATTCCGCAAAGGTTAGCCATTGGCGAGTGCTGTGTTCTTTAGTGGGAAAGCTAGCCATTGGCTAGTGCTGTGGTCTTTAGTGCGAAAGCCATCCACTTGTTGGAAACGCTTCGCACGTCTTCGCACGTCTTCGACCAAGTCGACTTCCAACATACTCATATCAAAAATACCAAAAAAAGGATGCCTGGCCCCGTACCATTCGTATATGGGTGTTTGCATCGGATCCACATGACTGTGCCCTGCATGGCAGTGCATGCAACGCTCTGTACGTGCTGAGCACTCTGAGGGCGCTGGCCCCAGTCAATTAACCGGATTTCCATGTCCACGACAGTAGTTTGTACGTGAAGTGTGCGGGTTACAGTGAGGTCTGCGTCACACCAACCGGTGTAGATTCACACAAAGTATGAGGTACGAAGTCTGAAGAAAATGTTGGACGGTCTCTGCTGGGATGACGTCTACACCATAGCTCAGTGGTTACAGCATCGCTGGCTACAAGCGAGGGTCCCTGGTTTGAATCTTGGTGGTGACAGTCAATTTTTTCTTCAGACTGTTCCCATTTCTTGGTCAGGTGCATTTTCTGCTTCAATGTCGGCTGAAACATTTAGTTCCATATTTTACCATGTGAAGTTCATCCACCGTCCGTAGAGGGCTCAATTTGCGAAAGGGAAAGAGTGGGATACAAACACAGCAGAACGAGCAGTTGCAGTTTCGTAACTCCGAGTTTCACGAACTTAACCGATCATCAAACTAAAATTGGTAATAGTTTCGTAACTCCGAGTTTCACGAACTTAACCGATCATCAAACTAAAATTGGTAATGACCCTGCCAGGCTATAATTATACATGTACCGTGAATGTGGCAAGTCCAGCATAACAATTACCATTATGATATATAGCGCGACACAGCGTATGCGAGAATGTTTTAGTTATCTGCAGGTTATTGCCAAATGTACGCGTCAATCTGGAGAATAATAATTATAACAATGGCTCGAAGATTTTAGCAATGGATCACTTCCCTTGATATACTAGTACTCTTCTCGGATAGCATTCTCTCTTTCTCTTTCTCTCTTTCGTTCTTTCTCTTTTCAATTCCTTGTTTGCTTACCATGGTATTGTTTCTGCCCGTAAAAGTGGTTTGGTCAGTAGTAGTAGTAGTAGTAGTAGTAGTAGTAGTAGTAGTAGTAGTAGTAGTAGTAGTAGTAGTAGTAGTAGTAGTAGTAGTAGTAGTAGTAGTAGTAGTAGTAGTAGTAGTAGTAGTAGTAGTAGTAGTAGTAGTAGTAGTAGTAGTAGTAGTAGTAGTAGTAGTAGTAGTAGTAGTAGTAGTAGTAGTAGTAGTAGTAGTAGTAGTAGTAGTAGTAGTAGTAGTAGTAGTAGTAGTAGTAGTAGTAGTAGTAGTAGTAGTAGTAGTAGTAGTAGTAGTAGTAGTAGTAGTAGTAGTAGTAGTAGTAGTAGTAGTAGTAGTAGTAGTAGTAGTAGTAGTAGTAGTAGTAGTAGTAGTAGTAGTAGTAGTAGTAGTAGTAGTAGTAGTAGTAGTAGTAGTAGTAGTAGTAGTAGTAGTAGTAGTAGTAGTAGTAGTAGTAGTAGTAGTAGTAGTAGTAGTAGTAGTAGTAGTAGTAGTAGTAGTAGTAGTAGTAGTAGTAGTAGTAGTAGTAGTAGTAGTAGTAGTAGTAGTAGTAGTAGTAGTAGTAGTAGTAGTAGTAGTAGTAGTAGTAGTAGTAGTAGTAGTAGTAGTAGTAGTAGTAGTAGTAGTAGTAGTAGTAGTAGTAGTAGTAGTAGTAGTAGTAGTAGTAGTAGTAGTAGTAGTAGTAGTAGTAGTAGTAGTAGTAGTAGTAGTAGTAGTAGTAGTAGTAGTAGTAGTAGTAGTAGTAGTAGTAGTAGTAGTAGTAGTAGTAGTAGTAGTAGTAGTAGTAGTAGTAGTAGTAGTAGTAGTAGTAGTAGTAGTAGTAGTAGTAGTAGTAGTAGTAGTAGTAGTAGTAGTAGTAGTAGTAGTAGTAGTAGTAGTAGTAGTAGTAGTAGTAGTAGTAGTAGTAGTAGTAGTAGTAGTAGTAGTAGTAGTAGTAGTAGTAGTAGTAGTAGTAGTAGTAGTAGTAGTAGTAGTAGTAGTAGTAGTAGTAGTAGTAGTAGTAGTAGTAGTAGTAGTAGTAGTAGTAGTAGTAGTAGTAGTAGTAGTAGTAGTAGTAGTAGTAGTAGTAGTAGTAGTAGTAGTAGTAGTAGTAGTAGTAGTAGTAGTAGTAGTAGTAGTAGTAGTAGTAGTAGTAGTAGTAGTAGTAGTAGTAGTAGTAGTAGTAGTAGTAGTAGTAGTAGTAGTAGTAGTAGTAGTAGTAGTAGTAGTAGTAGTAGTAGTAGTAGTAGTAGTAGTAGTAGTAGTAGTAGTAGTAGTAGTAGTAGTAGTAGTAGTAGTAGTAGTAGTAGTAGTAGTAGTAGTAGTAGTAGTAGTAGTAGTAGTAGTAGTAGTAGTAGTAGTAGTAGTAGTAGTAGTAGTAGTAGTAGTAGTAGTAGTAGTAGTAGTAGTAGTAGTAGTAGTAGTAGTAGTAGTAGTAGTAGTAGTAGTAGTAGTAGTAGTAGTAGTAGTAGTAGTAGTAGTAGTAGTAGTAGTAGTAGTAGTAGTAGTAGTAGTAGTAGTAGTAGTAGTAGTAGTAGTAGTAGTAGTAGTAGTAGTAGTAGTAGTAGTAGTAGTAGTAGTAGTAGTAGTAGTAGTAGTAGTAGTAGTAGTAGTAGTAGTAGTAGTAGTAGTAGTAGTAGTAGTAGTAGTAGTAGTAGTAGTAGTAGTAGTAGTAGTAGTAGTAGTAGTAGTAGTAGTAGTAGTAGTAGTAGTAGTAGTAGTAGTAGTAGTAGTAGTAGTAGTAGTAGTAGTAGTAGTAGTAGTAGTAGTAGTAGTAGTAGTAGTAGTACTAGTACTAGTGGTAGTGGTAGTGGTAGTGGTAGTGGTAGTGGTAGTGGTAGTGGTAGTGGTAGTGGTAGTGGTAGTGGTAGTGGTAGTGGTAGTGGTAGTGGTAGTGGTAGTGGTAGTGGTAGTGGTAGTGGTAGTGGTAGTGGTAGTGGTAGTGGTAGTGGTAGTGGTAGTGGTAGTGGTAGTGGTAGTGGTAGTGGTAGTGGTAGTGGTAGTGGAGTGCGGATGGAGATTTTGCTCCTCCGCAGTTTCCTCCGCAGTTTTCTAATTGTTGTATCCACTATCCAAGTCAATCGGTTATTAAACCTACTTGATTACTTTCGTCTAGGTATCAGGAGTCGGCTCCAGTAGTTTTTACCGCTGTGGGGTTGTCCAGTCCGCTATTCCTCCTTCCAGCTGGTTTTGTTTTACCTGGCGAACCGGCCATTGTGCTGTAGTTTCGGGTCGCTTTCCGTGCCTTCGCCTTGGGCCTTGGAAGTGACGTGAGCTGGCTTGCTGTGTTGTGCTTCGCGGCTGGGTGCTTTCCCGCATGGTCTGTCACGAGTGACGTGCGAGGTGCTGTTCACACCTCGCGTCGCTGTGCGGCTTCTTCTGGCAGTGCTGCAAGCTGCATGACATGTCACGGCGTGAGGCTTCTGCTGGGCCCTGTTGCTCCTGCAGCAAGAAAAGTGGTACGTGCGGAGCATGTTCATGCAATAGGAATGGACGCTGCTGTGTCAATTGTTACCCAGGTCAGATTGGGCGCTGTAGGAATTTTTTGCATGATGTTGGTGGATCGGAGGTGCCTCAAGGCCTTTCTGCAGGTCATCCGCCGGCCTGGAGTGGACGAAGAGTGCAGCCTTCTCGACCGGGTGATTCCGCTGCTGGCCGGACCGGTGGCGTGCCTCGAGAGGTACGGAATACTTCGGTATCCAGGCCCCCGTCGTCGGCCGCTGCATGCTCTGGTGTAGCACCGGCGCCTGGATTCGCAGGATCTTCCCAATCTTATTTATCTGCGCCTGCGGCTCCGTCTGTGAAGTCGCTGCGGGTGGATTTGCCTGTTCCTGTATGCTCGGAGACTGTTTCTGAGTACGCTGCCGCCTCTTCGTCCGCGGGTGCTTCTTCTGATCCCACTGCAGCTTCCCGGGTACCTGTGTCTGCGGCGCCGGCCTCTGTGGGTCCCGGTTCGTCTGGACAGCCTCAGGCGGAACCATCCTGTTCACCAGCATCGCTATATCAGCCATCGCATGTTCGTCTGGCCCCTCTGCGTCCGGAAAAGCAAGCGTCGCGTGAGCCGAGTACGGTGGTTGAGGGTGGCAGTAACTCATCTGCAGATGAAGGGTTTTGGAGTCAGACTACTGATGAGACTGTGAGCATGTTCGATTCTGCATACCGTGAAGTCATCTCATGGAGAAGAAACGTGTTTATGGTCCCCTTCGGCTCGGAAGGCAAAGAGTTCGTCAAGGAGATTGCACGCCTCATTGGCTTATTTACGGATGGCTCGGGTGCTCGGGCCTTTGCGTGGTCGGCGGTGGTCGTCGCCTGTCATCTGTTGTTGCAGAAGCCGTTTCGTGGATCTGCGGCTAGCGACCACAAGACGTTTTTGGCCAAGCGGCTTGGGCTGTGGACTGCCGGAGATCTCTCTCCATTGCTACGGGAGTCCCGATGCATTCAGGCTCATCTCTCTGATGCAGCCGTGGGTGATTCGAGTCCACGTGCTTTGGACGATGTTCGCTTAGCGAACATGGTTTTCAATGACCGAGTTGGCAGTGCTGCCCAATACCTGGATGCTGATGGTGCTGGTGGCGTTCTTCCCCTGGATGAAGAGGTGAGTGGGAAGTCAGTTCTAGAGCACCTGCGGGATAAGCACCCTGCTCCCCAGCCGGCTGATCCAGACATCCTACTGGACTGTAGCCCCGACCCCCCGGATCCAGTTATGTTTGAGGCGATAACACCAGCAGCTATGAAGAAGACGATATTGGGAATGAAGGGAGCTGCTGGACCTTCGGCTTTGGATGCGGCTGCCTGGCGTCGGATGGTTGGCATGTTCAAGTCAGCTTCTGACGAGCTCTGTTCGGCCCTCTCTCGCGTGGCCAAATGCCTGTGCACGGAGAGGCTGGACGCTTTGCATCTGCGCCCGTTTCTGGCAGCGCGACTGATACCACTGGATAAGCGACCTGGCGTGCGGCCCATCGCTGTGGGTGAGGTGTTTCGGCGTGCAGTTGGCAAGGCAATCATGGCGGCGATTGAGAAGGATGTGGTGATTGCGACGGCGCCAACCCAGCTGTGCGTCGGGATACCATCGGCATGTGAAGTGGCTGTGGAGGCGCTGTCATCGGTATTTGCCAAGGAGGAGTCAGAGGCAATACTCCTCGTCGACGCCACTAACGCCTTTAATTCAGTGAACCGGGCAGCTGCACTGAACAACATACCACGCGTGTGCCCAGCTGCAGGGCGGGTATTTGTGAACACGTACCAAGCGGATATCCCCCTGTACCTGGATGGTGGCGAGACACTCTACTCAAGAGAGGGCACGTGCCAAGGAGATCCACTGGCCATGGCATTTTATGCTTTGGCTACCGTCCCTCTGGCCAAGCATCTGTCCACAACATGCAGTGGTTCCATGCAGGTGTGGTATGCTGACGACGATGCCGCTGTGGACCGCGTTGTGGCACTCGGTGAGTACTGGAACTGCATCTCGGCTGAGGGCCCGAAGTATGGCTACAAGCCTAATGCTGCCAAGACCGTGCTCCTCGTCAAGAGCCATCTGGTGTCAGACGCTGAGCGGGTATTTGCTGGCACTGGCATCCGGATTTGCTCTGATGGCGTCCGGTATCTCGGTGGAGTCATCGGCAACACTGAGTTCTGTGATGGGTTTGTGGGAAGCCGTGTGGGTGACTGGTGTGCTTTAACCAAGAGGCTGGCGAGTGTTGCAGAGACCCAGCCCCACGCGGCTTACCACTTATTCATCTCTGCCATTCAGTCTCGGTGGTCATACTTGCAGCGCGTTGCTAATGCTGACGGGGCACTCTACGCACCCCTGGATCGCGTCCTAAATGATCAGCTGCTGCCTGCATTCACGGGCCATTCTGTGCCGGTTGAGGGAGGTTTGCGAGCACTGCTTTCCCTTCCAGCAAAGCTTGGTGGTCTTGCGGTCCGTAGCAATGTGTCACGGGCGGCTGCTGAGCGCACCTTGTGCCGAGACGCCATTGCACCCATGGTGGAGTTGGTAGTCGGTGGCACCTCCACGCATGAGGTGTCGTCTGTGGTAGCAGCATGCAGGACATTGGCTGCAGGTGCTCGGGCGGCGCGCCGTGTTCAGCAGCGGAACTTGGCAGAGGAGATCCGATCCGGCCTCCCGCCCACGCAACGGCTACTGGTAGAGGTCGCAGGTGAAGATGGCGTCTCAAGTTGGTTGACGACTCCACCTGCGACTACAATGCCTGGGACCGTTTTCAGCAGGACGGATTTCCGTGATGCTGTGGGCCTACGATATGGCCTTCCCTTGGAAGGTTTGCCAGCATCATGCGTGTGTGGCAAAGACATGACAAGCCACCACGCTATGACATGCCCCTGTGGCGGGTACCCAACGCAACGTCACAACGAGGTTCGGGACCTGCTGGCTAGTGCCATGTCCGAGGTGGCGTATGATGTCGAGTTGGAGCCTGTTCTGCTGCCTCTCGATGGTGAGACGGTCTCAGGTATTAGAGCTGATGCCGCTCGTGCAGACATACGGGCTCGCGGTTTCTGGACGCGACAGCAAAACGCCTTCTTTGATGTTCGGGTTACCCACCCAAGGCCGTCTTTGCTGTCGCGTTCGGGAGTAGCGAGCCAGTTGTCTGACAACGAGAGGCAGAAGAAGCGCCAGTACTCGAGCCGGATCAACAACGTCGACCGCGGTTCGTTCACGCCGTTGGTTTTCGCCACCAATGGGCAGTGTGCGCCGGAGGCGTCAATATTCCTGAAGTCGTTAGCAGCTCAAATCAGTGAGAGGAACCGTGATCTCCCCTACTCACTGATCATGCGCCAGCTTCGTGCCCGGATCAGTGTGTGCCTGATTCGCTGGCAAATAACTTGTCTGCGGGGGTCACGGCACTCGTACCGCCGAAGGCTCATGGGTGCTGGTCATGGCGGTTTTGTGGTGGAGTGTAGGGCCCGTGCCCACCTGGCTGTTTAGCATGCCTGACCTAACTGTTTCATGATATTGTCTGTATTTTTGTTGTAGCAATTTTGCTATTATATGTTGGTCATGATTTGATGGTTGACTTGCCCGTTTTCTTTGTGTACCTTATCTGGTTTTCTCTTGTCTGGGTTGTTGGATGAGTTGGGTAAACGGTGCTGCTTTGATTGTGTTTGCGGATGCGGGTTTACTCTTTGTTTTGGTATTCGATAGTTGACTTGATTCTTTTATTTTATTTTCTTATTGGATTTTCCGATTTATTTGATTTGATTTTCCTATCTACGATATACTTGATTGGATTTGTCACCATTGCTTTCTTTGCTTCCGTTTTTTGAATTCTTCATTCCGGCACCCAGTTTGTTATCAAATAAAGTCAACGTTCTCAGTAGTAGTAGTAGTAGTAGTAGTAGTAGTAGTAGTAGTAGTAGTAGTAGTAGTAGTAGTAGTAGTAGTAGTAGTAGTAGTAGTAGTAGTAGTAGTAGTAGTAGTAGTAGTAGTAGTAGTAGTAGTAGTAGTAGTAGTAGTAGTAGTAGTAGTAGTAGTAGTAGTAGTAGTAGTAGCAGTAGCAGTAGCAGCAGCAGCAGCAGCAGCAGCAGCAGCAGCAGCAGCAGCAGCAGCAGCAGCAGCAGCAGCAGCAGCAGCAGCAGCAGCAGCAGCAGCAGCAGCAGCAGCAGCAGCAGCAGCAGCAGCAGCAGCAGCAGCAGCAGCAGCAGCAGCAGCAGCAGCAGCAGCAGCAGCAGCAGCAGCAGCAGCAGCAGCAGCAGCAGCAGCAGCAGCAGCAGCAGCAGCAGCAGCAGCAGCAGCAGCAGCAGCAGCAGCAGCAGCAGCAGCAGCAGCAGCAGCAGCAGCAGCAGCAGCAGCAGCAGCAGCAGCAGCAGCAGCAGCAGCAGCAGCAGCAGCAGCAGCAGCAGCAGCAGCAGCAGCAGCAGCAGCAGCAGCAGCAGCAGCAGCAGCAGCAGCAGCAGCAGCAGCAGCAGCAGCAGCAGCAGCAGCAGCAGCAGCAGCAGCAGCAGCAGCAGCAGCAGCAGCAGCAGCAGCAGCAGCAGCAGCAGCAGCAGCAGCAGCAGCAGCAGCAGCAGCAGCAGCAGCAGCAGCAGCAGCAGCAGCAGCAGCAGCAGCAGCAGCAGCAGCAGCAGCAGCAGCAGCAGTAGCAGTAGCAGTAGTAGTAGTAGTAGTAGTAGTAGTAGTAGTAGTAGTAGTAGTAGTAGTAGTAGTAGTAGTAGTAGTAGTAGTAGTAGTAGTAGTAGTAGTAGTAGTAGTAGTAGTAGTAGTAGTAGTAGTAGTAGTAGTAGTAGTAGTAGTAGTAGTAGTAGTAGTAGTAGTAGTAGTAGTAGTAGTAGTAGTAGTAGTAGTAGTAGTAGTAGTAGTAGTAGTAGTAGTAGTAGTAGTAGTAGTAGTAGTAGTAGTAGTAGTAGTAGTAGTAGTAGTAGTAGTAGTAGTAGTAGTAGTAGTAGTAGTAGTAGTAGTAGTAGTAGTAGTAGTAGTAGTAGTAGTAGTAGTAGTAGTAGTAGTAGTAGTAGTAGTAGTAGTAGTAGTAGTAGTAGTAGTAGTAGTAGTAGTAGTAGTAGTAGTAGCAGCAGCAGCAGCAGCAGCAGCAGCAGCAGCAGCAGCAGCAGCAGCAGCAGCAGCAGCAGCAGCAGCAGCAGCAGCAGCAGCAGCAGCAGCAGCAGCAGCAGCAGCAGCAGCAGCAGCAGCAGCAGCAGCAGCAGCAGCAGCAGCAGCAGCAGCAGCAGCAGCAGCAGCAGCAGCAGCAGCAGCAGCAGCAGCAGCAGCAGCAGCAGCAGCAGCAGCAGCAGCAGCAGCAGCAGCAGCAGCAGTAGTAGTAGTAGTAGTAGTAGTAGTAGTAGTAGTAGTAGTAGTAGTAGTAGTAGTAGTAGTAGTAGTAGTAGTAGTAGTAGTAGTAGTAGTAGTAGTAGTAGTAGTAGTAGTAGTAGTAGTAGTAGTAGTAGTAGTAGTAGTAGTAGTAGTAGTAGTAGTAGTAGTAGTAGTAGTAGCAAGAGTACATAAACCAGAGTGTGCAACTCGGGATGGTTCCTGTGGGAGCGTAATTCGTGCACTACGTCATTTCTGACGGCATGGTAAGCCACAGGTACGGTGAAAAGTTGCGTAACCAGTCGCGGTGGTGCAGTTCACTGAGTTTGTCCTGATTCCGGTTTTTTGAGACGGATAGCCTGGTGACTTTACTTGTCGGTGGATGTACGCAGCGTACACAGTCACACAAAACACCGAAATCCTGAAACAGGACGTCTAAAATCAAGCAAACTTGGCTGATTTCCGGGCTATGAAACATGAAAATTTGAGCTCTACGCAAGTCGCGGCTTGGCTGATCTCATCAGGGTGACGTAGTGCACGAACTGCGCTGTTTCAGATCTGATATGCACAGTTGCACACTCTGGTTTATGTACTCTTGGTAGTAGTAGTAGTAGTAGTAGTAGGAGTAGCAGTAGCAGTAGCAGTAGCAGTAGCAGTAGCAGTAGCAGTAGCAGTAGCAGTAGCAGCAGCAGCAGCAGCAGCAGCAGCAGCAGCAGCAGCAGCAGCAGCAGCAGCAGCAGCAGGACTTTCAGTCGATATAGTCGACATGTCTACTAAACAGTAAGTCTGACTCAATGACCAAACCAAGATGCTTGTGTTGCTTTACCACTGTGAGGTCTGTGAGGGATCCGGAAAGAGTAAATGCATAGGTTGGCTCTGAGTTCGGCAGGAATAATATCTCAGTCTTGGCGATATTAGGTCTTAATCTCCAGGTAGTCATTCACGGATGGACTTCGTTGATGCCGCACTGGAGACTGTCTCGCAGCCTCTCGCAGCCTCTCTAGACACTCATTGAACTGGAGCAGTGCATTATCGTCAGCAAATAAGGACACACCTTCAACATGACTGGGAAGATCATTAATATACACTAGGAAAAGGAGGGGCCCTAGGATGGATCCCTGCGGCACTCCGGACAGAACAGGTGAGGCATCTGAGAGTAGTCCACCTACAAAGACTACTTGCGTTCTGTCGGATAGGTAGTCTGTAATCCACTCTAGCGCTGCGCCACACACACACCGAAAACTTTGGAAAGTTTAGCAAGTAATGCACAGTGCCACACGGTGTCGAAAGCTTTCTCGAGGTCGAAAAAGCATATGGCAACTTTCCGCCCCATATGACGATGGTCGGCAATGTTTTGGATCAGCTTGGTGAGCTGTAGAGTGGTCGAGTCACCACGACGAAACCCAGATTGCGCGGGATCCAGAGCAGGAGAAATATGATTATATAATTGATTGAAGAAGAGCCGTTCGCAAAGTTTGGAAATACAGGACAGGAGGGAAATTGGGCGATAGTTACTCGCTTGGGATTTGCTGCCTTTGCACTTGTAAATAGGCACACATTTAGCCAATTTCCAGTCGGTAGGGAACTTGCCTCTGGTAAAGGAGAGGTTAAATAGGTGGCTAAGTGGAAATGAAATCGGAAGAGCTAGTTTCTTTCTTGAAGGAATGCGCAATGGAACTTGTAAAGACACTATCTCAGCTCTTTGCTTCCAACACGGAGTTCTACCTGGAAAAATCTTCCACGAGCGGCGTCAGATTTGGGTCATAAAGGGTACATGTGATCAAGCAACGAGATGCTATATCCCGAAATCCCATTTGCCACATCTCAAAAGAACTACGACAAAAACGCCTTTTTACTGTACATTCACAACATGACTTACAGTCCTTCTAATTTGGTTGTGGCTTTAAACAGCCCATCAGGTAGGTGAACAAGTTGATTAGTCTTCAAATATCTGGGAGAACAAAGTAGAATTTGGATAGGATGTATGGTCCTGGAAGAATATTGCGTGCTAGTTTGTAGGTGGAGTGTGTGGATTACAGTGAGGGCTGCGTCCCACCCGCCTGTATAGATTCACACAAAGTGTGAGTTACGAAGTCTGAATAAAATGTTGAACGGTTTCTGCTGGGATGACCACTACACCATAGCTCAGTGGTTACAGCATCGCTGGCTACAAGCGAGGGTCCCTGGTTCGAGTCTTGGTGGAGTCAGGCAATTTGTTCTTCAGACTGCTCCTGCTGCCATTGCCGTCATTGCCGATCTTGTCACTCTTCTAGTTGATGCGGTTCCTGTCACTGCCACGCCAGTAAGTGTCTTGTCCGGTTGTTTTTCCGGTGGTCTTGTTAATTGTGAGGTGACGTTGCTTGGTGTTGATGCTGCTGCGTTAGATCATCTTGTACCAGGATGATTCTTTGCTGGACGTCTCCTGTTGTCAGATGCGTGCGTCCAGATGTTGACAAGATCGGCAACGATGGTGATGGCAGTCTAAAGCACTGACATCAACGCCAAGCAACAGCAAAGATCGGCACTGACGGCAATGGCAGCGGCTCAAGCACTGACAGCGGCAATAGCTAGGGTCCACACGACTAGCCATTTGGTATGGGATGTGTTCACCGCACAGGCTGATTATTCTGATGTTAGTTCTGATAAGTATGAGTCGTCCATTGCTAGTCATTTGTTTGAGCATCCTGATTGTTGTGTTGTGTATTCAGATGATTTTGTTCGATTGTGTCATGTGTACGCAGTGCTAGATTGTTTTGAAGCCGTATACATCCACACAAAGAAACCCAACCTTTGCAAGCAAGCATAAGCAAATTAAATTCACACTTAGGCTGTTAGGTAGGTTGTCAAAACCTCGTTAGTTATGTCCAGTGATTGTCTCTTGTTGTCGCACTACAAGTCACGCTGATTGAATTTTCTCGCACTTGCACCTTTGTGTCATTATTGCTATGTGTATAGGTCACGCATTTTCGCTGTTAACTTTAGCTATCTTCTTCTTTGCGCTGCTTGACCACCTCCTTACCGTACTTAATTCAGTGTTCCTTTTCCTTTTCCTTTGCCTTTGTTTCATCTGATGAGAAGGCTTGAAAGTATACTTGTGAAACCAAAACTTTCAAGATTTTCGTAAAGAGCCTGAAGTGTGTCCTTTTTACGAGTATTGTCGCATTCTTGTCTCAGAGGAAACTGTCTATATAAGCAGTAAAGCAATAAGTTATGATTTTAAATAGTTACTCGGATGATGAGCCAATTTAATTATGGTAAAAGAGGAAAAGGACAACCTGTTACGAGTTATGACTAGGGACCATAGGGCTTGAAAGTGATGACGTCAAAACGGCCAGGGAGTAGTAAGTTGACATCAGATTTCTATTTTTGGATCCACTAAGGTGTGACTTTGCTATTGCCTAAGTATGTGTGTGCATAGCAACTAGTGTTTAAACCGAACACGGATTCTTCGAACGAATAATCTATCGAATAATTTCGCCCTCCATCGAACGAATAATCTACCATCTATCATACGCATGATGGCATTTTTCAACACTTTTCAGCACTTTTTAAGTAGTTTTTTTTTTTTAATTTTGCTGATTGTCGGATTTTGTTATGTGGAGGTGCCAACAGTACATAACCCCCCAGAGTGTGCAACGCCTGATCCAGCTCTGCATAGGGTCTTGGTCGAAAGTGGTCAAAGACCGAAAATCACATTCACTGCATCCATGTTTCCCTCGTATGGAAAGAACAGAAGTACAATGTACATGTATTACTAGATACCGATAGGAGATTAAACCTCGGAGGAGAAGAGATTGAGAAGAAATACTGCGAGCAGATCTACACAGTGCAAATATCAGTAGGGTCAGCACTGAGCAAAGATCGTGTTTTTTTCGATTTCTGATAATTCCTACGACTATTCGATAGCAATACACGAAAGTGACCATGTCAGTGTTTTCCAGAAAATACTGTCACCTAAGTTGCGCGGTGAAATCCGGCCCGAAGTGCAAATCCGGCGCCACGAATTGGCGCGAAGCCAGCTCCCATTACATCACTGGCGATTTGTGTGTATGAACTCAACGGTACGCACCTCGCGTAAAAGTTCGGAGTGCACGTGTTGCATACTAAAAACAGTTCAAAATTTCTTTCATTGACTTCACTCAAGCACAGCAGGATTTTTTCGATAGAGGAGTACCCAACATCCTGTTTCAACCTCCCTGTTCGCCGGACATTGGTTGGTTGGTAGGATTTATTTAAAGTCGAACAACGAACAGGCATGTCTGCCTCCTTATATGAAGACCACTTCTGGCAGTAAAACATTTTAAAGAAACGAGAAAGGAAAAAAGAAGAAGATAAGATCAAGAATGTATAGACTGAGGATACAGCTAGCCGGAGACTGAGCATACAGCTAGCCTCGGTATGTATCAGAGCATCAGGATTACTACATACTAGTATTCAAGACAGGGAAGGGGGCTTGCTGTCACGCTACAGTAAGACAATACGCGTGCAACACACCCTTGAACTGGAGGGGGGGGGGGGGGATGTTTCTCGCATCAGGTGGAAGACTGTTCCAAACGCGTGCAGCAGAAAGAGACACGGCATGAGTTCTGGATGGAAGCTGCAGCAGATGTTGTTGGGAGCCGGGCGTTTGGCCAGCCCTAGTCGGAGTGACGAAATCTCCAAATAATGCGCTGATCAGCGGCTGAGCACACTGTCTCACGCAAGAGCTGGTGTACACGAAGCAGGTTGTGTTCCGCATACACGGGAGTCATATGTGTACGGGGTCAGGTTGTACACGACATGAATCCAATCGGGAATGTGTGGGCTCT